TTTTCAGTTGTTATTATTTATTGAGAAGTCAAAATAACAATTACAGGCCTTTTTGACAAGCAAGGAAAGTAAAAACTTCAACCAAAGATCAGAAATTTTCCATTATATCCATGAAAATTCCACAATAATATTGGAAAGACCAAAAATGATAGATTTTGATCAAAGATTTTCATTATATTCAGGTGGAAATTTTAATAAGTTAATCAAAAATTTGCAAATTATAGCGCAAATTTTAGTTTCTAAAACGAATCTTTTTTCATTATCAATATTATCATTATATCAGTGAGAATCTTTGAAGAAATTGAAACATATTTTGAGCGTAAATTTCAGCACTTCAGGTAGCATAATTTAATAATTGTAATCTGAGGTATAACACAATTTAAGGTAGCGCTAATCGGATATAGCAAATAAGAATAAATAATTTCATTAAAAATACGAAGCTAATTCTGATCGATAGCTGATTCTAATTGATGCTGACCGATCATCAAAAAAGACAATATAATTGAATGAAATTTGCCAAGCAGTACTTGCATAAATGATAAAGTTAGTCAAAATATATCAAAGTTAACTTAAAAAGATACACTCCACTACCTCCCCCTCCATCCTCTTCCCTCAAAAAAAAAAAAAAAAGAAAAAGAAATGATAAACTATCAATAAACCAGGCGTAGGTTAGACTATCGTTATAGTGACACTATTATTTTACGATTGTATCACCTGCTTATACCTGATATCCGGATGATAAGAATTCATTAAAATTCGTCAAATAACCAAAACTAGTTATTTATGCTTCTCATTTTACTTGTTTTAGGTGCTCACGGAGAAATCATCGACTAGGATAATTCCTTTAAGCGGATGAACAGGTGTTCTTTCCAGTAGCTTCCCATTTTGTAAGCATTAAATTAAGCTAATGGTACCTTGGTCAACCTTTCATTATTTAAGCAAATGATCAACTTGTCATTGTTTAAGCATTGAATTAAATTAAATTTAAATGATGACTATCATTTTGTAAGTATGTAAATCGTCACTTCAGGACTGGAAATTCTCGAAGTTACAAATAAGACATTAAGTAGAAAATGATACAATGGGAAATAAAAACAGTATAAAAAGTGAATAAGCCCTAAGGGATGTTATGCATTATCTATAAGCTTTCAATAGCTTAATAAATTCAAATGAATTCTTAATCTTAGGAAGATAACAAATGACAATCTTTGCTGGATGTTACCATTGGAAAAGGAGTAATTCTTCGGTTCATTATTGACTGTTTTGTAATTGATTAGTGCAAGTATGTGAAAAACTTTGACGAATTTACAACTTTCGAATAATGGGGCAAGAAAATGATAAAATAAGATGAATTTGAATTTGAAATTCATTTTTTGTTTTGTACACAATTTGTCTATTTAAGAAAAACATACAATTTTGATAAAACATGCAATTTTGTTACACAGTTTTGATCGTATTTGAGTAAGAAAAGAAGACAAGTTAGACTAACTTAGCTGCTATATTAATTAGACCCAAATAGTTTTAGTGAAAAACTTTCAACTAAACATTTTAAGGATGCATGCTACATGAATGTTGACCATTGCAATCAGATCTCAGATAAAAATATTTCAAAGGTCAACATAGTTATAACCGATGTACATGATGGTCAAAAGATGTCATCCAATTGTATGCAAAAAATGACGCAATTGAACAAATTAGTATTTCTTGTTAACGAAAACGGTCATCTTCAATATTATACAATTGGTTATTTGAGCATCTCTTCACTAAAACAGAAAACATGTTTGTTGGAATTGTGAAAAAAAAAAGGTATTGTTAGAGGAATAAAATGTGGACACTTGAATCTCTTAGACTATTTTAAAATTTATTTATTTTTTCAAGAGATTACAGTATTGCTGACTTTATTAATTGTTTCTAAACGATATGTTGCATTTCAATTTTAAAATGTTTCTTCTATCGCTTTTCATTTTTTTTTTATTTTCTTTTTTTCTAGTGAAGGTTGATCAACAAATAAATGTTTGGATTGGTTTTGGTATCGATCAATTGCAAAAATGCAACAAAACAAATTTCATTTCGACAAATTGCATTATTAGTTTCATTTTTGATCAACACAATTTAATAATAATCGATTGATTTTGTTGTGACATTAAGGAAAAAAATTAATCGATGGTATTCAATTAATTGATTAAATAAGTATAAATGCTACTGGTTAACATTTGAAATCATTACCAATTTACTTGAAAATGGAGACTTTTAAATGGATTCCCAGTTAGTTGGGAGTTCGGATTTGATAAGTAAGTAATTAAGTACGTTATTTGCTGTCTCAGAATAATCAAATTAATTTTAATTAACAGGCCAATTGTTATCTATGCATCCCAGTTAAAATTTGTTCGAATGCTACTTGGGATTTGTTCAAAAAATGAAAATTTGAAATGGAATTTTATTAGGTTATAGGTATTTCATTGCTTTATTTGTTGTTTAAATTTCAAATATATCACTTAGAAATCGGTTAAAATTTGTTTCAAATATTAACCTAAAATGTGTTCAGCAATGATTTATTAAATTGTAGATATTTCATTATCCTATTTACTATCTACTAGTAAATCATTTAAAATCATTTAAAATCGACCTCAAATATTAGCTTAGGTAATCAATTCCCGACAAACATTTTTGAAAGCAGTAATGTGAAAAAAAAAAGAAAAAGAAAAAGAAGACGGATAGTATTTATACTAACATTGTCCATTTCCATTCTTTTCTTCCATAAATGACAATTGGATGATTATGTTTTAGTTTGGTTCATTTTATATTATTTCTATTTTATAAATATTTATTTATTGGATATTTTATTCGATTTTTTAAATGTGTTCAATTGTCATTTTAATTTAAATCAATTGTTTCTATCAAATTTGAAAGGTTTTCAAATTCTTGATTAATTTTTCAACATTAATTTGATTTGTCTTCTTGAATTTTTAGTGATAATTCTAAAATTAACAGGAAGAGGCGAAAATTGATTGTGAAATGGAAAGAGATTCAAAATCGTAAAAAAGGATTTAAAGATTTACACTTCTTCCCTTTTCTCTCTAACATAAATTTGAAATGTTAAAACGAAACTTTAAAATTAAAGATGATAATGAAAGATAGGAAAAGTAATTTAGAAGTAAATGCTAAAGTTTACTTAATTTCTTCAATTTCTCACATATATAGTTAATATTCATTGAAATAATTCCGGTTTTATTGTTCATATGCATTATCCGGATATACGGTTAACATTTATTCACTCTTAATTATAAATGAGAAATTATTTGACAACATAATTGTGAATGTCTTAATATGAATGGACAATGAATGTGTTTATGTATGTGTGTGTGTGTGTGTGTGTGTGTGTGTGTGTCTGTCTGTCTGTCTGTTTGTCTCTCCGTTTGTCTGTGTGTCTATCTGTGTGTGTCTGTGTGGCTGTGTATATATAAAACCTGTTATGTTTTATTTGATTAATTGAATGAAACTAATTGCTTTTGATTTTACGTATACAAATATCTTATTGTCATTTCATCTTTAAATTTCTCATCTTATCACTTTATTTATCACCCTTATTGTTTTGTTGTTTGCGTAAAATATATTTTATTGTTATACGTTTGTATGTAAGAATTAATAATACAATGAATAAATTTTATTTTAATTTGATATTTTTTGCTCATCCAAGTTTACATGAAATAAAAATTGTTGAAAATTAATTTTTTAAATCAAATCAAAATTTTAATAATTTTTAACTCAAATAATAATTTATTTTAGGCGAACCTTAAAATTTAAATTAGGCTATATGCTGTAGCTGGATTATGGAAGAAAGGAAATTATTTTTAAATGAAATTGAAATGAATTAAACTCTAAATTTAATTTAAATTTGAAAAACTGTCATACTTTTGCTTCGTTCTGTATCGTACCATTTTCTATCCTCAACTAATAATTCATTTTTATCCCGTCACTAAAATTGATTATTTTGATAATAAGGTTATATGAAAACTACGCAAATTTTATATTGCTTTTAATTATTTTCAGTTTATACAAATATTATCAGATGTATCTAAGAAATTTTAATGGATTAAACGACTAAAATTCGATTAAATCAGTTAAATCATTTTAGATTAAATTTGTTAAATATGTCATATTAATTACATGTATTCCATCCAATTTTTTTTCAACCATTTTCTATCTGTTTGTCCTTGTCGGGATAAATTCATTTTACATAAGCATTTAACATAATATAGTAGATATTTGGAATTTGATAAATGAGCAATTAATTACGCTGTTTACAGTCTCGAAATAATTAAACTTTAGGGAATTACTGTATTTAATTGGAGTGTTCTTTTTCTCCCCTTTTTCTTCTTTGTTAGTAAAGCATTTGTTAATTTGACATGTAATCAGTAACTAACCGGATGTAAATCAAGCTAACAGGAAATTAGCTCATTCGGAATTTGAAATTTCCCGTATTTTTTTTCATTATTTCTCCACTCAAATAGTTGGATCAGTTTTTTAGTTGTGAAGTATCTGTTTTGGAATTCCTCAAATTTATCGACAGCGATTCGATATATAGAATTGGAATTTCTATAAATTCCATGAATGAATATTTCCGGAATATCATTAACTATTTTTCCCGGGCAATTCCGGCATCCTTACTAAGCTATCCAAAAAAGAAAAAATCTGATTTCAAAAAGCCTTTTTGATCGAATATGCAGCATTTTTCAGCTGAAACGTGCAAAGGTAGAGAAGTCAATCCGGTTTCTATCCGGATTTCCTACTTTCCTAAATAGCAAATGTGTGATTTAAAAATAAAAAAATAAAAAGAAAATAGTGTTAAGACAATGATATGATGTGCCAGTTGAGAGAAGCTGAAATGTGTAAAGAACAACAATTTATAGATTGTATTATTTATCGACGAGTCAGTATTTTCCGTACGCTTCGCCAGAAGGAAACTGTACACAAGTCGCCCGACACACACACACACACACACACACACACACGCGCACACACACACACACACACCACACACACAGAAACATACACAAACATACACGGGCATATACCACATAAACGCAAATACACACATACAGACAAACAATATACACACATACATGCATACACACACACACATACACACACACACATACACCTACAGACACATAAGCATACATACGTAACATTGATGTACACACCCATCAAATCCTATTAAATTGTTCATTTCAATGTTTTCATCTTTGCTAATAGTTGTGAGATTTCAATATTTGTAATATACTATCTGCGCATAGTACATTTTATAGGATTTGTGAAAGATGAAGAAGTAGTCTTTGTGAATGTTTTGACCTTTTCAATATTCATTAACTCCAAAGGGTTAACAAAGAATATTTGTCTCGCCGCATGTTTTGACCTCTCGGCAATATTTGTCAACATATTAGGGTTGTCCTCTTTATTCAGTACTTTTCTCTTTCGTATCACGACATGGCAATATTGAAGAAGGATGGAGTGGTTTGTCCATATATTTTTCATTTTTTTTTCTTTTTTCTTTCGCAATTCTAAATTTGCACTTTAATTATGAACAGTTTTTTAATTGAATTATTACCAAATTTCATCCTTTATCGTTACAGTTATGCATAAGTTAAAATGTATGTGTGACATTTGCAATTCAATGTGCTATCGTAAATTTATGCAAATTTCTAATATATTAAATTTGGAATGAAAATTTCAAATTTATTGAACGAAATTAGATCATTTTTGTCATTTATTAATTTGGTATACTTAATTAATGATATCAACTGATGGATGATAATTAAAACAGTAAAGACTTTGAAGATTTATCCATTCATTTAAAGTTTAATTTGGCATATAGCTGGAGTAGAATCAGAAGAGAACACATTCTGAGGAAAATAGATAGTTGTTTGGGAAATTAATTAGATTTTTTAGATCTGCCAAATGTGATATTTCTTAATGTTTCGCATGGGAATTAGCAAAACCATTTTATTAATTTGATATTTGATAATTTTTCTTATCATCAGATTGACAGTTATTGCATAATCAATTCAGCCATTTCATTTACCTCAAATATTCCGGTGTTTTTTTTTCCATAAATCATCTCTGCCTGCCTTCTTCCTTCAAACTGGGATATGATCAAATTTCTATTAAATATCTGAATTGAAATTATTCATTTCTGTAAACTGTTAAAATTTCACCAAAAAAATTGCGTTCGCTTTATAAGGTGCAAAGTATTTATTTTAAAAAAAAAAAAATTTATTCCTATCTATTAAAAAAAAAATATTCCTATCTATTTCTTTGTAAATAAGCTTAATTAATTAATCATGCATATTCTCACACTATTTCTCCTTATTGAAGTGGAAAAAAAGTAATAAAATGGTTGATGATTAGAAAGCTTTCTATGCTATAAAATTTTAATTCCATTCATTTTTTTAATATAACTTATTCAGTATTTAATTTTATGGTGATAACATTGCTGCTATATACGTATGTGTGCGTGTACAAATATTGCTGGAAAAAGAAATTAACATTTGTCTTGATTTTCCGGTTTTTCGGTTTCAAGAGACGGAATAAATTTTTAATTATTCTGTTTACAAAGGGGGTGATTAACTTATTATCCAAAATAAAGTAATTTAATATAAATTGAAAAAACAATTGTAATATTTCAACGTAGTATTTGTAAGGAATAACTATAATAAAAGATAAATGGAAAAGTAATTGTAATATGAAAGGTAATGTGCACTGAAATTTGCATATTTTAAGGATTGAGAATTAGAAATTGAATTTGTAGATAAATTCCAGCATTGTTATCGTATTTACTTTTACGATTTCTATTTGTTACATTTATAGCGTATAGCTATAACAATCATTTATTTCTTATTTGCTTTTCCAACCTCAAATAGTTATATATTGTATTTCCTTTTCATGTTATCATTTAAATTTTGTTTAAGCTTAAAATTTTGAATTTTAGATTTTTAAGCTCATACATTTTGTTTTTACCGTTTTTTGTTGACTTAATACTTATTCACGGTTCAAAAGTGTTCGGTAATAGTAGCATTTATTTCAAATGTTCCTTTCATTTCAACAATTAGGATTTATCACACTTTGAAGTTTTCTGTAGAATTTAATCTTTACATTTCAAAATTTAGCTTACAATTTGAAAATTACTTCACAGGTATGACGTCGTCACGGCAAGAGGTGTACACAGGAGCACAACCGATGAATACCATGGTAACAACGATGACCAAAACAGATGATGGTCAATTGCAGAATCGTGAGTATTACTTTGGTCACCGTAGTTTGAATGGAACTTATTGTTACCAGTTGGCTGGTATTCTACGAATTTTCGAAATTGCAAGTTTTTATTTTTGTGAATCGTAAAAAGATGAAAGAAAGAAAAGGAGAAGCAAGAATTAAAGTAATCTCTCAGTTAAATAATTCATATAAATTTTGTTTCAAATTAATTCTTCAACATCAAATATTCCCATTGATTTAATAATAATATTTTGGATTAAAAATGAAACAATCGTTCATGATGAAAATATTTTTCAGATATTAGGCTTACTAATAATATCATCAATTGTATCAGTATATGGTCCAGGACCATTTAAAGGAATTCTTTTTGGTCAAACATTTTTACTTATCTTTGCTGGTATTGCTGTTTGCTTCACATTCATTTTTTTTATTGTTTTTCTCTTCCAATTACACGAAACTCATCTTGACTTTTGGCCATGGAAAATCTCTGTAAGTTTCCATTTACAATTAATTATAATTTTAATTTGAAAAGGAAAGAAACAAATTAATACGTAATGTTTTGGACAATTTCTCGGCAATATTTCCTAGTGGCAGCCTTAGTCTAACCTAGCTTGTGTCCAATTAATTTAGTTTAAATATTTCTAATTTAACTCATTTGTGAATTAAACCCTTAATTATAGCAACAAAATCTTTATTTTCCCTATCCTTTTAATCATACATTTCTTAATGCAGTTTGTTGAAACGCTAAAATTACTGTAGGATTTTTTATACTTCGTTCTTTCATATGATTCTCTCCACTTTTTTTTCTTTTTCAATTTCGAAACTTTCAAGAGCTATTTCATAACATTTAATCTTTTTTTTTTTTAAAATTTTAGACGCATCATCGTTTTATTGTAGGATTTTATGTTTTCAATAACCGCATGCTCATCGTATATTATTTTGGGTTTGATTGAAGCGTACTATTCGACAGGTGCTTGGTCGAATAATTGTAATGATATTGGCTCAGATGGTATCATTCATAATCATTGTCGAACCATTTATGAATGGGTCTTTGCATCGGTAATAGTCCATTATTTTTTTTCTACTTTTTTTTAAAATTTTGAATTTGATTTTTACTCTTATATTCTTTCACTTTTTTTGGTTTTGGACTTTTTCATTTTAAATTTCATTTTTAAATAGTTACTTTTGCAATTTAGCAATATTATGAATATTTTGTAATAACCATTCAAATCTTTTGCTTAAAAAACACAAAGAATATTAATACAATACAAATTTTTGTATAAAAAGTTTTTATTCATTAATAAAAATTGAAAATTGATTGAACTGATATTACGCAAAAATTTTTTTCAGCTTCTATCATTTTTCAATGGATTTTTATATGGAATAAGTGCATTTTTAGCTCATCGTAATCAATATAGTTAATTAGTGATTGATTGGCTGGTTGGCTAATTAATTGGTTAATTGACGATAATTCGATAAAAAAGTGAAAGAAAATAAAAATGCCTGATTTATCTTTTAAAAGAAAAAACAAAGAAAGTGATAAAAAGAAGGTATAAGATTTTAAGAATTTTATATTATGCGATTATTATTATGAAAATTGCTCGAGATCTAAGGTCAGATCAAATTAGGGGTCAAGTAATACCATCCAACAATGTTGGAAAATTTTGGGAAATTGCATTAATGCATGCAATAGCACTGTATCATCATAGAAAATGAAATGATTATTATGCAATTCTATCACTTCCCGGAAACCTTGTCAGTTTCTCTCAGATCGAACAGTAATGGTTATCCTATTCCGGTTCCGGCACAATATTACTTAATTTTTATGCCTTGTTACTCCAGGATTTCGCAAAAACTTTTCTGTTGCATATTCTGATTATTTGTTTGAAATCTTGTTTATATCATATATTACTTGGCTGATTTGCCCATTTCTTCATTCAACTGATAATAACAATATATGAATTCCACGTAAATAGCGTAACCTTTATTTGCCTTTTTTTTTTTTTTGTTTCACTTTCTGTATACATGTTAATTGTATGGTAAAATTTATTTCAGAAGGAAATAAAAAAATTGAAACGTTTTTTGCTAAGTTATGAGTTTTGAATATTTGCTATCTGTTTAGGTTCAATTTAAAATTTTTTAAATTTGATGATATTATAGCTATTTCAAATGACATTATGTACAGCATGTGTATATTAGTTAATAAAACATGTTTAAATTAGTAAATGTTTAAAAGTCCTCGGTTTTGATTTCCACTAAAAGTTAATAAAATTGTTTCGTCAATGCTTTTCCCCTTTCTTGGCCAAGGATTATTAAATCGAGCTTAATTAATTAAGTTGATTTAAATGGAACGATTTCATGGCTAACAAATGAGCCTCATTCCAACAGCCACGTATCCACGGATCGTCCTTCACGAATTAGCCACCTAAAAACCTCTGTAATTAGTGAAAAACCGCTAGTAATCATATATAATTAGCACAAACTATCATTCTACCCGCTGTACTAATATATTTTATATGATTTTATCACTAGCACTTTTTCAAATTTTTTTAAACAGCTCCCGAACAATAGTTCTCTTGGCATTGAAAACTTCGGATTATCTCTATTTCATCTAGGTTACAAAAACATCTTTTGTACCTGCATTCGATCCAAGTCAGAAAAACACCTTTCATATCTTGATTTCGACCCAAGTTATGCAAGACCTCTTTTGTACCTTCATCCAACCTAGCTATACAAAATACCTTTGACATTATAGTTTCAAAAACTTGGCTATGTTTTTGCTGTACTGACAAATACATATTGACGATAAGCATTTTGTTCCTTATTATAGCTACATTTTCTTAATCACATGGAACAGCAAATTTATCTTTGAAAAAAAGGCACAACAAATATACATACATAAATACATATACGTATGCGTGTATAAATTATTAAATATTAAAAATGCGACTAATTTTTGAGTTAGAACCTAATTTTTTTTTAAAAAAAAAAGAAAAAAAGAAAGAAAAAAGAGCAAAAAAGAAGACTCAAATTTAACTTTCACAAAAAATTTTTAATATTTCACAGTAATTATTCATATTAAATTAAAATTAACGAAAAATTGTGTGATATTTGAAGAGAAAAAAATTGAATTTCGCATAGATAAAATTCTTCCATCACTTTTCATTTTATTTATAAAATTTCTTTCAAGTTTTATGTCCATTTTTCCTTTTTTTCATGCTAGCAGTTTGTTCATTCATTATTTAATCCATTCAAATCTCTATTTGGCTATTATTAGTTATGTACAGTACAGAAGAAAGCTAACTTCCTCGCTGTCCATATTTTCTTGCTTAATTTCCTTTCCGCCCGCTATTTGGAGTTCACCGATAATTATTCTCATCAATTATTTACACCCAAAAAAAAAATTATCATAATCATCAACAAATAGTAACATAGCAAGAAAAAAAAAGTAATAACATAGCATAATTACAGACAAAATTAACTGTTTTTCAAAATGTTTCCCATGCTAACAACGAAAAAGTATATATATATATATAT